ATGGTGAAAGAGATAGATATCTTAATATATACAGTATATATTCCAGCAAATTTTGAAATATTTTTAATATTAATCGATTATTAATCGGGGTAAGGTTTTTTTGATCGGTTCCAACCTCTATTTTAAAAAATTCAGCTTCCGGACCGAATTCACACTTTAGGTGAGGAGAAGGGATATTTTTACCGGTACAATAATGACAACAATTATTATTTGGATTAAATTTATATTGATTGATTTTAAAAAAACAAAAGAACACAATTAATGTTAATGAATTATATTTTATTTTGCATATATATTAATAATTAAATATTGCTAATGATGAACGTAATCTATATATCATAATAAACCAAACAATAAAATATTAGTTATTATTTCTTAACCATATCACCATTATTTTCTTAATAAATAAATTATTTTAATAAAAAATTTCGTTGATTCTCATTTTTTACGCGTATTATTGTTAAATTACATCCAGTTTCACTTCCTTTTTCTGTTTTAATTAAAAAAATTTCAATTAGAATTATTTTTCAAACATATTTTGTGTTAAATTTCGCTCCCTTTTCTTTTTAATTAAAAAATTTTAATAAGGATCATTTTTCACACACATTTTCGCTAAATTTCATTAATCTTATTCCCCTACCTCATTTCATAAAATATTTCAATATTACCTTCCGCTTCCACATGTTTTTATTATTTAATTTTCTTTGACAATACTTCTTTGACTTACTGAAAGCTAATTAAGCCTTTTTCTTGTTTCGACTAATTGTAGAAAAATAACGGAAGGGTAATTATTTAGCAGTAAGTACAGTATAACCAAATTTATTATGTTCACACAATCAATAAAATAATGTCTTTTATTTTATTTGAAATACAAAATATTATCGCAATACGTTTCATATTATAAGAAAACTAGGTTGAAACCTGCTTTCTATTGTATACCAAGTTTTCGGTACCTAACAAAATCCAGTGCGCACTTATGAAAAATGATCGACATACACTATACTTTTAAAAAGAAATATTTTGAACGTATAGTGGCAGTATTGAAAAAAATTAAATAAAAAGGTTTATAGACCTTTGACGATTAGATACAAAACATTCCCACTTTATTTAAAAACGTTGAAAATTTTGATACATTTTTAGTAAAAAAAGTACAAAGATAAAAGAAATAAATAAAATAATACATACTAACTTAATTGGCTAATTCTGCAAAAAGTGATACATTAAAAAGGGTATCTTTATACTTAATTTTTAATTTCTAATACGTATTGGCTTAAATATTTCTTCAAATGACATTCAAGATACTCTTTTTGACCTAAAGTCAACACTAAATGCTCTTGTTCCATGTTTTGTTGAAATTCAATTCCAAGAAAATTTTTACTCAAACAATTATTAATCACAAGAGGTGAAACAATTCCGCATGATACTTGATAAATCCGGTTATCATATTGTTGTTGATAATAGAAAATACATTCATTTTCATTGGATTGAACGTTACTTTCTTTTAATAATTTATTTAATTTATTTAATAAATACTCAACAGTGTCGTTTGAGATTTCCTCTCAAATAACATGATAATGATAAAAATCATTTGGTGGCCGAAAGAAAAAGGTGGTAGGATGGGTGGAAATAAGAGTTGGTTGAGAGTTAGAAATTTGAACTTGCAAATTCATATTTCGGTAACTGATAATAAATTGTGTTAATAAAAGACCATAAAGAATTTTTAAATGTTTGTCTCCGGCTTGTGAATATAAAATAACAATTTTAAGTAATAAAGAAATATGATAATTTGGAGCAGCCCGCAGCAAAACTTTCCTTAAGAAGCAATAATTTTGCAGATCGTACGATCGAAAAAAAAATTTTTTTTTTGAAAGATTGGAAAGAAAGGGAATTTTTAATGATTTATATTAGAAATTATCTACATGCAGGTCATGTAACCATGCAGATATGCCGCAGGTAATTGAGTATTAAACTTTTTAAAACATAAAATCTGTAAAACCTGTGAAACCGGCTGTGATAAAAATATAAAAATCAAAATTAATCAGCGGGAAAATGAGTAACCGGATCGGCACACACGTGATCGTATAATAGTTTCCGGAATTACGGACAAGTCCACGTAGTAGAATATTAGCTTATTGACATATTCAAAATGGCATGATTGAAAAAAATTCACCGAATATTTTAAACCTAATATATGTTCTGCATTACTTCATATTTTATATAAGCCGGAATATGCGCTATTTATTAGTATTATATTTATAAAATTATATTATTTAAATTTTAATAATATAGTTTATATATTTCCTGCCAGAATTGCGTTAATAGGTTTGTTTACAGCTTATCCTTGAGTTATAAGTCAATTTATTATGTACAGTTTTGAGTTTCTTTCGTCTAATGTTTGAGATTAAATAATTTAGCATTTTTGGTAAATTAAAGGGTTTTAGAAGGTTATGTAGTTTTTCTGTAAATATTGGAACGTTTAGAATTTAGATTTATTAAATTGAACGAAACTATCTAACTGGGTATGTTTTTTTTTTATAATTTTATAACAATAGATATTTAATTCTTCAAACAAGTTAAAGGAGAAAAATTAAATGTTATTTAACAGATATGGCGTTGCTTAGATTAAGGTTTTATCCCTTATAAGGATTTAATTTGTAATTATATAGAGATATGGATTTGAGATTATAAAATATAAATAAAATAAAAATTTTTTTCGCTCATTGTTACATGACCGTTATAATCTTTCGAATAATTCTATTGTTTTTTTGGTTTCCGGCGATCAACTTCCCAAACAGTGATCACGTGAAATAACGCAGTGACGACTAAAGGAGTAGGTATGAATCTCTTAAAAGGTATATTATCCAATAACCAAGAATTATACTTACATTACTAAGTAAGCAACAATATCAGTTCGACTAACAAAATTTCAACTACAATCTAATTAATGCAACCAGAAGAACAACAACTAGTTGATAATGTAAAGTTGCAAAGAAATCGTTTAGTACTATTATTAAATTAATCGAAGATGTTGAAAATTTTTTAGAAAAAGCGAACTATATCATTAACATGAAAGATCATAATAATTTATCATTGTAAATTATATTATTTAGTCTTAAATACAAATTGAATAAATTTAGTGTTTAAATTAATATTACATTTTATTTTAACTTAATTTCTATCAATTTAGTTGTTTAATTATAAATTAAAAATCTATACCTGAATATCTTTGGAGTTAACTTTGATGTTAGAGTTGCTTATGATTAGGGTAAGCATAGGCTGAAGGATTACCTTTAATGTGTATATCGGGTTGCTTAGGGTTAGAAAAGGAATGGAATGTTTAGGTGTGTAGTTCAACTATTATGACGTTAAATCAAATAAATTACGTGTCTGTGCTTTTTGATGAAGGAGTCGGTGAGTTGGAATTGACTACGTGATTAGGAGCGTGGTAAAAATTTATCAATGCAACTGTGCCAAGGACCTCGTCAAATAAAAAGGCGCGATCAGCCTGATGCTTATGTCCCGGGTGGTTCCTGCAAGTTGGACCTCCAAGAAAGAAAAAGAGTGAATATTTTCAAGCAGCTATTAAGGTTCTTCCAAATTCTATGACGTTTACCACCTTGGTAACCCGCTGAGCTCTTGCTTATAGAAGGAATTAAGGGTTTCAAAGTTATACGGACTGCGTTAGGCGTCCGCATACTTATTAGATATTGAGATAATTCATTAGAAACGTATCAAATTTTGGCTCGGTAGAGATTTGTCATAGTGTCTACACGGCTCGTCTTCCAGTAATAATACGGCATGTGAAGATAAAGAGTAAGGAACTAAATATCAAGAAGATAATTGTAAATCTCTCTAAATTGTAAACACTAAACACCCGACGCTTATTTTGAAACATGATAGAAAAAATTGAGATGTATTTAATTAGACCATTGTTCAATATTTTGGAAATATACAGTACACTACCATAATTTCATCACTTTGCTAGCATTTTATTTTGAAATCTCATTTAGTTAATCAATATCACATGACACGAGTATAGTGTTGGGCAGAAGCCTAATGATTACAATAAAATTATAGTATCAATTGTAGCGTTAAACCGTACATTCTTCCAGTGTTATCGAGACCTTTGATTAAGAGTTTCGTTAGCAAGAATAGTTTGTAAACCGTTTAAATCGGCATGAACATAACATAATTGCTATATTAATCAATACACGCATATAAATTTAATATTTCGTTTACGAACTGAAGATAAACATATTAAATTTGAAATTATGACGAAATATTTTTTTTCTTTTTTTCTTTGAATGGAATTAGAATCACAGATGTCATATACATGAAGTTATATATCTAAAAAATAATATATGGAAAAAGCAGACACGGGGTTGGGTCCGAATCTTTTTATAATATTTTTACAGCTCACTTCAAAAAGGTCGGGACATTTAACAAATTTTAAAGAGCTCGGAAATATTCGGTAAAGTTCAAAATAAGATAAAATTATACCACCATTCTCGGAATAGTACTCCAAAATTAGCGTATAATTTTTATTTTATATCAAGCTTTCCGAGTTCTTTAAAATTTGCTAAGTGTCCCACACATTATGAAATCAGCTGTAACTAAAAATTTAAATTTTTTTTATATTACAGTAAATACAACCTGACGGGTCGAATCCGAGTTATCCGAGTCAGACTATATCAGGTCAAGTCGAATCCGGGTCGTTACTTTTACACTCTCGAATACACCTCAAAACCCGAACACTAAATGTCACTACACATCGAAAATTACTACGGTATGTTTCTTGATTATAATTTACTTAGTACATTTTGCTATTAAAATCATCAATTCAAAGTATAAAATGTCGTGAAAATGGTTTATTCATTAGAAGTTTAGATATAAGATTATTATTGATTTGTATATATAAGTACAAATAAATATTTTATTAAATTTAATTATAGCGAATAAGTTTTTGTTTATATAAATAAAATGGGAATAATTACACCTGTATTTTATACAAATATATTGCAATATTTTAATATTTTATATTGCATATAATAAATCAGAATAATATAGCAAGACCGCATCGTCTATGCGGATTTTGTAAAAAAGAAATTAAATATTATTTACAGTATACATACTGTCTGGAAGACTAAGATCATTTTGTAAACTATAATAGGCTTTTAAAATAAAGTAAAAAAAGGGTTCATCAATTTTATAATCATTGATATTTAAAGACAAGCATTAATAACATTTATGATTTACCTTCTTGTTCTACTGTTTTAATTAAAAAAAAAGAATGCATAATATTAATTAAAGATAGAAACTTCAAAAATATTATTTGAACATGCAATAAATAATTCACCTTTAGTAGCATTTCTTGGTTCAGGTAAATATTTAAAACTATGTGTTTTACTAAGGTAGGTCCTGATCGAAGAATTAATAGAACCGGAACTAGGACTTATACTAAGATTTAATTGTGAATTATAAATATTTGTGCTGTATTCATTATTTTCATTTTGATTATACGATTTTAATATTTGGTGAATTTCATGACTAAAATTATTAATATCAGGCCTTTTTGCTGGGTCAGCATCCCAACATCGTTCCATTAATATTTTGTATTCTAAGGGAATTCCTAGAACTGGTTTTGGCCTCATCCCATGTACTATATTCATTGCAAGATAATAATCATGATCAATATTAGCATAAGGTGGTTGTCCAGATGAAATTTCCCACATGAGCATACCAATACTATAGATATCAGACGCAAAAGAATACTTCATTTTTACAATAACTTCGGGAGCTATATAAGGAAGATTTCCATATATACTATTTAATGGTTTATCAACAGGTCCACAAAACCCAAAATCACTGATAGTCCAAAAATTAATATGTTGATAACATAATATATTTCCGGAATGTAAATCTCTATGAATTGCATTCTCACTATGAATAACATGAAGTGCATTGACTATATTATTAATAATTTCAAATCTTCCTTTCCACGTTAATTTACTATGATTTAGTCGTAAATATTTTCTTAAATCCATATCCATTAAATATACTACGAGCATATAACTTTTATTAAATGGATCTTGTGTTAGACCAAAACATCCTACTATTTCATTCCATTTATTACTTACAGCTAAATGAGATTTGGCCTATAAAGGGAATAATTTTTATTTAGCATTATAAATAATTAGATATTGTACTTGTATATGTATACATAATTACATACCTCTTCAAACCAGCTCCTATTAGCGCTTTCAATACTTTCCAATCTTTTGAGTATTACCTTGTGTCTTCCCTTTCTTTCTAATTGTTTTTCTTTAGAATTCCACTCATCATAACCTCCATTAATCCAATCCGCTGTATAAATTTCAGAGCAACCGCCTTTAGTTAAATATTTAATATTCCGTAAATTATTGTATGGGATCCATTCTACAATTTTATCAGGTCTAAATGTTTCCATTTGACATTTTCTTATTAAATTATCAATATTATCATTTCCAGATTTCCAATTTGAAAATTTTGTTTTTAAATAATTTCGAATACAAAGTTCACAATATAATGTGGCTAGACATTTTTCTTTACAATTTTCACAAATTCTTCTAATACCTTCACTATTAAGAACTTTATCATGATCATAACTTTTATTTAATAATTTTATTGCTTCTAAAATCTCAATTTTTGTAAGATATTCATCAGCGAGAATGATTTTTTTTCTAAATTCGAATATTTTATGTATATCATCATGAATATCAAAATCTGTTAATGCTGATGCTTTATTAATTGCGGCAGTAATTAATTCACATCGCATAATTTGAATATTTCGCATTTATTATTATTTTTTTTTTTTTTTAAAAAAAAAAAAGGAATCAAATTGCGAAATAATAAATTATGAAATCAGAGGAATTCATTTTTTATATATATTTTATTTATGGGAAAGATGTACATAACAATCTGTGTTACCGAAAGTAACATTCACGAAAACAGTAATATTACAAAGAATGGAATAATTATATAGAAAGTTCTTTTCATTCAAAAAAGAAAAATCAGATTATTCTTAAATTTTCTTCTTCATTATTTGATTGAAGTTTTCCTTGTTTAGTTTTATATATGCCTTTTCAGTTAAAGGAGGTTAATTTTCGGACCGTTAAACTGTTTGTTTGATGTTCTTTATAAGTAAATTGTTATGTTATATGTTTATTAACGGTGTACAGAAAAAATATATATATCTATTTTTTTTCCATTTTTTCGATCGCTCAAAAAAAAAGTTCTCCCGACAGAATAAAAAATAAAATGAAAATGGTTCATTGATGAAAGAAATTATTTTTAGTAAACTAATCTTTATAATTCAAAAATTGGAAAATGTGAGAACTGCAACTTAACTAAATTAGAACTTATCGTAGTAATAAAGTATTTGAAATAATAAAACGGATTTCTTGGTGGCGCAGCAAATTCTTAGTGCCGCAGCAAATACTCTTAAACGAAGAATATGCTTTGTCAGTCAACCTACTCGGTGTATTTTCGTAAGAATTGGATAAAAAAACTTCCAAAATCGGCTCCAAAATTTTTATTTATTTATTTTAAGAATTGTAAGATTTTATAATTTAAGAACGAGATAATTTCAAAATTTCGATGGAATTTTTTTTTCATTATAAAACTCGAGTATTCTAATGCATAATATATTCGAATAAGTACGAATATTACATTATATTACATTAAGAAATAAAAAATTCTTAGGACATAATGAACCTTATTTTGGGATGAAAACAAAGAATAACAAAATTCGGAAAAATATTTTAAAAATTAATTATTCCATTTATGCAAAATAAAATTAGTATAATAAGAAATCTTTTATCTTAGTGAGAAGGCGCGATAGGTATTACTAGTAAATAACTTGTATCTACGAAATAAAACAATCGCCAAACATTTATCTATATGGGATAAAGAAGGTTTATTAGTAATAATATTATTCCGTCAAAGGACAGTTATTTGATGCAAATACATGTGTATTTTTTAAAGTATAATAATGTACAATGTCACAAAAATCACAATAAGAATTACACAAGTAAATGCGTAAATGGAAATCACAATTAGAATTACACAAATGCGTAAATGGGAATGATATACCTAAAGATACTCCGTGGCTGTACGGATAATAAAAATATCCCATATAAAAAAAGTTACACAAATTCAGCAGAATTTTCCTTTTTGCGAATCCGTTATTATATGTGATACAACTAATACATACGGAGACTTATTATAAAAGCTGTTTTTAGGAAAAGATACAAGCTTTGAAAACTTATTAAAAATGGCCGTTAAGTATTTACTTACATGCCGTCGCACATATCCACATGAGAGTATTTACTATAATTCATCATTGTATATAAGCAAATAATTAATAATTATGATTTATGACCAAATGAGCTCAATTGTTATTAGCAGGAAACTTTCTTCCTTGTTTCATTTCTTGAGTTAGGTCAGTTGATCAGCTCCTAATCGGAGAAATTATCGGAGAAATGCTGTTCGGAGTTATTTATAACGTTGATCAAAAGTGTAAATGGTGTATAAATACAACTGTAAAAACCTTGCTCCTTCGAAAAAAATTTTGAAATTATTAAATTAAGAAATTTTTTTTTTGAAAAGGAAATATCATGGCACCGCACATTATAGCATCCGATAATTCTGACGGAATTTTTAATGAATTACCACAAGATTTTATTATTTCTAAAGATAAATCTTATATTGTATTTAATAAAGAAATAGAGAAATCAAGTAACGATGATCGCTCTTATAGAATAATTCGCTTAAGCAATGAATTGGAGGCTTTAATTATTCATGATGCTGAAGCTGATAAGGCTGCTGCATCCCTAGATGTTAATATTGGATCCTATCACGATCCGGTAATATTATAATAGTAATATGAATTCGTATGAAACTAAGGGTTTAAGACAAATGATTAACAAAGTAATTTTTTTTTTTAGGATAACCTATTAGGTTTAGCTCATTACTGCGAACATTTGTTGTTTATGGTAAGTATTTTAATCTGGTGCAATAACATTAATTAAAATTCTTGTTCGATTAAGTTGGTCTTAGTAATAAAGTTTTTTTCTTATTCTGTTTAGGGAACGGAAAAGGTATAATCTCTATTTGTCACGTGATTGTCATTTGTGCACAATTTCTTATTTTTATTTTTTTTTTTAATTTTTATTTTTAAGTATCCTAAGGAAAATGACTATTCCGAGGTATCTAAAACTATAATTTAGGTTTTGGCTCATATTTTATTTTTATCAATAAAACTTAGCATTAATTTCCTTTTTGTTTACAGTTTTTGAATAAACATAATGGATCGTATAACGCGTATACTTATACCGAAAATACAAATTATCATTTTGAAGTCGGACATGAGCATTTAGAACCTGCACTAGATAGATTTGCTCAATTTTTTATTTCTCCGTTATTTAATGCTGATTGTACCGATAGAGAATTAAAAGCGGTTGACTCTGGTAAGATATTTTTCGATTCTTCTTTATTATGTTTTTTTATAGTAAATTTATAAAATATTCTTTTTTTAAAAAATAGAATATAAGGGATATCTTCAAAACGATGATTGGAGGTTATATCAATTACAAAAGTTCAATTCCAATCCTGAACATCCCTTGTCAAAATTTTCCGTTGGAAATTTAGAAACTTTAAAAGAACTACCTACAAAAGAAGGTATTGATACTAGGGATGAATTAATTAAATGGTATGAAAAGTATTATTCTGCCAATCTTATGAAATTATGCGTTTTGGGAAGTGGTATGTTATATATTTAATTAAATGTTTTTTCCTCCATTTGTTTCTCTTCGTTTTAAGGAAAAAGAAACTAATTTTTTCTCAAAAATTTAGATCCTTTGGAACAACTAACTGAATGGGTTGTTGAAAAGTTCTCTGATATTAAAAATAAAAATGTCGCTCCATTAATACCTGTTGAAATTCCATTAAGAAAGGATGTAGAATTATCGGTATGCATAAAAAGGATAAAAATAATTTAATTCAAAAAAAAAATTAGGAGATTTTATGTTGAAAACCTTATTAATTAAATTACTTTCCATTTTAAAAGAAACAAATTTTGGCAAAACCTGTTAAAGATAATCACACTTTAGCGGTTTATATTCCTATACCAAGTCTAAGAGAAAATTATAAGACGAAGGTAATATATAAATTTTTATTTGTTATAATTATAGTAATATGATTATTTATTTATTTTTTATTCTTTTTCTAAAAAAAATAGGCTGCATATTATGCTGCTCATTTAATTGGTCATGAAGGAACTGGATCAATTTGTTCTTTGCTAAAAAAGAAGGGTATAGTATTCCTAAAACTTTGAGTATCACCGCTGTTGATTGTCGCCTTACCAGAATTAGGATAGAATTTTAGGCAGAATTGATGCCATGAAACTCCGCCCGTTAATATTTGCTAATGCTGGTGCGGTGATGATCGCCACGCGGTGAATTTTCACATTTTCAATTAAATCGAACATTTTTAACGTATTTTCTTTTAAACTTTGTAGGATGGATTACTTCCATTTATGCCGGACCGGAAGAAATTAGTGTTGATTTTCATATGATGACAATGAATGTTTATTTAACTGAAGATGGTCTAGGTATTTTATTGTCAAATATTTACTATTAAATCACGACATAAACGTTAATTTTCATCTTTTTATTATTTTAAAGAACATTACGAAGATGTTTTGGAAATTATATTTCAGTATATTGAAATGCTCAGAAGAGAAGGACCACAAGAATGGATATTTAATGAAGTAAGAAATTTTTAACGAAACCATTTTTTTTAAAAAATTTAATACTAAAAGAAATATTTACTTATTCTTTTCCTTTTTTTTTAAACGAAAAAAGATTTCATCATTAAATCAAATAACATGGCGATTTTTGGAAAAATCATGGGAATCTTCATATGTGTGCATGCTCTCAAACAGATTACATCAAACATATCCACACAATGAAATATTAAGTGCTCCATATATTAGTTGTGAATACGAACCAAAATTAATTACCGAAATGCTTGACTGTTTAAGAATCGAAAATTGTGTTGTTACCCTCGCAAGTAGATTGTTGAGTGGATTTGATAAAAAAGAGAAATGGTTTAATGCCGAATATAAATATGAACCTATCAATGAAAACTTGATTAAAGTAAGTAAACTTTGTGAGTAAAACGACATATACAAAACGACATACATTTTAGAATGATCCCTAAATAATTTTTTTACAAATAATCAGAAACTTGAAGATCCGGTTATTCATCCTGATCTTAAACTTTGTCCTCCAAATGAATTCATACCCACCAATTTTACTGTTAACAAGTTAGACAACGTAACAGTGAGTAAAAAATAGTTATCTTTTTTTTCTAATAGGAATAATAGGAATTAAATTTTGATTTTTTTTTCTTTAGCCAAAAACGCGTCCAGATATTATTAGTGATAATGATATAAGTCGCGTTTGGTATAAAAAAGATGATAAATGGTGGATTCCTAAAGTTAGAATTGAATTTGCATTTAAGACGTACGTAAACATATTTTACTATTTTATAATTATCATTGAAAGTTATAAAAAATTTTTTCAATATATCTAAATATATTTTTTACTAAAAAAAAATAACCACATTTACAGTCCGTTGATTAGACTTACACCGTTCAATTTGGTTAAAACCGCATTATACTACCATGTATTTGATGATGCATTTGCAGAAGAAGCGTATGATGCATCACTTGCAGGATTGTATTATTCAATATATACAGTAGAAGACAGTTTACGCATTAACGTATCGGGATATAATGATAAAGCTTCAATATTAGTAGAATTAATTATGAAGAGAATGAAAGATCTCGTAATTAATCCTGAAAGATTTAAAGTATTAAAGGAAAGATTAAAGAGAGATTATAATAATAGAAAATTATATAGTCCAAATACGTTAGCATCAATTTACGATTCACAATTATTTAATGAAACATATTACACAACAGAAGAAAGATTATCAGCATTAGAAGATATTAATATAGAAGATGTACAATCATTTTACCCTGAATTATTTAAACAAATGTTTATCGAAGCTCAAGTATTTGGTAATATGGAAAAGGATGAAGCAATGAAAATGGTAAAAATGGTTGAAGAAATATTTAAACCAAAAGTATTAGAAAAATCCAGAATTCATAGAGGTAGGAATGTTAGATTACCTAAAGGTAAAAAATATGTTTACCAAAGAGATGTTCATGATAAAGATGAATTGAATAGTGCAATAGAATATTATTTACAATGTGGAGATAATAAGGATAAATATGCTAGAAATAGGTTACAAATTATTGCTCAAGTTATAGAAGAAGCTACTTTTGATCATTTAAGAACCAAAGAACAATTAGGTAAATAATAGTAAAATTACGAGATTTTTATTTTAATGAACAATGAGTTAAACTAAAAAAATAACAAAATTTTCGTTCATTTAGGATATTCTGTATTTAGTTATGTAAGTAGTTCAGTAGGAGAAATAGGATTATTAATCAATTTACAAAGTGAAAGAGATTCCGTTTATTTGGAAAATAGAGTTGAAGCATTTTTAATTAAAGCTCAGGTAAACATTTTTTAAAAAATGTTGCAATAAATTAATAATGATTTTTTTATTTTTATAAAAAAAACTTATATATACATTATTTATAGTCAATTATTGAAGAAATGTCAGAGGAAGAATATCAAAAACAAAAGAAATCATTGATTGATAATCTTTTGGAAAAAGAAAAGAATATATGGCATGAAACATCTAAATATGCTAATCATATTACTAATGATTATTACGACTTTAATATAGGTAAGTAATAATGATAATCCAATTCATTTATTTTTTTTATAATATCAATTAACTGTTATTATTTATTATTTGCAGATATTGATGATTCTGAAGAAATTAAAACAATCACTAAAGATGATGTATTAGAGTTTTATAAAATTAATATTCATCCAAAATCACCAAAGATTAGAAAGGCATCGATACATGTAAGATCTTTAAAGTGTACCGATAATAACTCTGTTGATAAGGCAACAACAACTGATTCCAAAGAAAATGACAAATCGGAAGAGAAGGAAAATAAAGATAATGATGAATCAAAAGAAAAAGATCAAGAAGATGATGAAAATACTTATGCGAAATTAGAAAGATTGAAACCAGAAAATTATATATTGTCCGAAGATAATATTATAATTACTGATCTTTCAGATTTTAAGAATAGGATGTGTTTGGGACCCACTGCTACTCCTGTCGTGCCATTAAAAACTTATTATAATGAAGAGATGTTTAATTAAATAGATTAATATACATATACGTATATTTAATACTATCATTTTTAGAATACTTTATTATATTCATCATTTGTTTTATATTTTTTTATATTTTTTGTATTATTTATTTTTATTTATTTGGCGTTTTTTATTTATTTGTTCTTAAGTAAAAATTTTGATTATTAATAAATTTAATCTTTGACGCCTTTTTTTCAGTCATATGATGTAAAGTTAATATGAGGAGATTCAAAAGTAGCTGTTTTTACTATACATGTATATATATCTTTTAAACTACGTTTAATAGTTTTTTTTGCAAAAAAGTAATATGATCTTTAGTAGATATGCAGCAATATCTACACATTGTGTGACTTAATTGACTTTCAGAGAATGGAAAAAAAATCAAGTTTAGTTCTTCAACGTATCTGAAAATGAAACCGTTTATAAAAGCGTATTAAATTACATTATTAATATAAATAATATTTTGAAAAAATTTATCGTACAAACTGGAAAAATTCAAATCAATATGTTGAATTAAAATTCTTTTTCTTAATTTTAATAATATTACCGCTAAAAAATTTGTTAATGAAAACCTGGCAAATATGCTTATTATTTTGTAACTATTTCTTAAAAATTTCATTATACTTGAATTTCTTAACAAACACAAACTTACCTTTTGATGTAAGCATTTTTAACATGATGAAGAAATTTTGCACCGTGATTTAAATAATTTAATTTGTTTAAGATCATTTGTTTATATTACTTATTTTTGTAGCATTCCAATAACATAATTCCTTGGATCAATGCATTACATTAATTATAAAGATTTAGTAAAAAGAAAAAATTGCACTAACCAGCAATAATACATATATTGACGATTCGACCCTTTTTTGAGTTTACATTACATCCAAAATTGCTGACGCCCTACATACATGATTTATTAGGATAAATAAGATAGATACAAGAGTTTACCTTAATTTGTACTTTTTAAAGTGAAGAATTCTATCATTTATTTTCACAAAGCTTAGTCACTTAACCGTAATTGTTACGTGAGAAATTATTAATTATATTTTATTAAAAAAACGATAACAATACAGTCAGTCAATTTTACTTACTTTTTTGTTAATTATCAATACACCTTTTCCTCATAAATCCGTGCATACTAAATATCCAACTCGTTGAAATCCTATTTTAGTACTTGAGTTGCGATTTGTGAATCCAATTTTTCATCTTCAGTAGATTTGCTTTTATTCATAATTCTTCAACACTGCTTTATGTGATGCTGAATGGGAAAACTGGTATGGAATATGTAATGATACTTGTGTCTTTTTCCATTGATATGTTCGTCATGCGAAATTCTAACAATTGCTTTGATAATATACCTATTCATTAATAACCAAACTCAATCAACTTTTTAGCTTAATCATCATATCGAATGATGATCCGTAACATGTCTCATTAAGGCATTAATTAAACATAAATAAAAACGTTGAAATAAAGTTGGAAAAATTTTGGTTTGGTTGCTTTATCATTGCATCATGTAATATATAATACCGAATGATTCTATCGCTATAGTTGTTGAATTTTTATCTGTTGCGGTTAATTTAATAATTATTGCCGTAACAGGTCTGCAAATATTCACTATTAACGTTTGTTTCATTAAAATATTTATCACTAAATAAAAGAAATTGATTTATATAACAATTATTGAAGAAAGGGTTCAACCGTTTTTAAAACGGCGATAGATGAAAGAAGTTGATACTCTAAAGCTAAATTATTAATTTAATAATAGAAATCCAACAAACTTCACTAATGTTTGAGTTTAATTATCAAAGGAAATAAAAGAAATTAACGAATAATGGTCTATTACGTTAGATATTACACAAAACGTACCTATCAGATAACAAAGCATATTTTCAAATTTTTTATCTACCACTATATCTGATATCTACATTATCCCTTATTATTGGTAGAGTTCTTGTAATATTTTCAAAATCTAAACCTAATGTAGTTGTTTTACTGAAATATATTGATCATTAGTTTTAATAAATAATCAGTAGGCGTGGGTATTTAAAAGAATAAAAAATTAAAATTCTTATTTTAGTAATTTTATAAAATCATATTGCGCCAGTCAAACAATTATTATATAAAAAGTATAACTAAACTGTAAAACTTATTATTATATCAGTACGTCTAATGTGAAGATTAAAGTTTTAAACTAACGGACTACCAATTTCGCTTTATTTTATTGGAAGATGTGAATGTTGTAGTACATAGCATAGCGGACATCCTCATTTTATCACAATTTTGACGATCATTTGTCGATCACTTATTCAATCTTATCACATAGAATAATACCGTTATTTATAAATTTTGCGTAATAATACATGCTCAAATTTTGCAAATAAACTTCTTTTAATACACAAGTTTGTGTATTATTATTTAACATTTTTTAGATTTAAATTTATATTTAATAAATATTAAATTAATGTAAATTTGAGATAAATTTAAATTTAAGCAAAAAAATAATTAGTAGCGTATATTTATGCATTTATAATATTGATTTAATTTTGTGGCTCAAGCTTTGTGGCATTTATTTAATTACGTAAATAAATTTTGTGGCATTAAATCATTAAAGTTCGTGATATTTATTTATTAAATTTATAATATTATACACTAAATTCTCTACTGATAAAACTTCTGCATTATGGGTTATATAATTGCATTATTTTTGTCATAAATCTACTATACAGTATAATACTAATTGTTTTCCTGTGTGACAGTCACGTTTAGATTACATATTTATATCTGTGTTCCCGTAACGTTTAGACTACAATTTATACCTGTGTATCCGTAATGTTTAGACTACGAATTTATACCTGTGCACCCGAAAGACTGTATAAAATCGCGTATAACATTTAACCGTCGTACCGACCACGTGTATGTCGTTGCAGAGCAACGGGTCACGGCTAGTTATACATAATATAAGAAGTAATTTTACAAAGTTTTAAGTTTCTGCCATGAATATTCGGCTTCTGCCATCAATTTTAAGTTGATGATTCCAAATAATCACATATCAATAATCTATAATGTAAAAATTAAAAAATCATGCAAATCGTCATATAATTCAGAGCTGTGTAACAACATGACGCTTTTCATTTTGTCTAGTTATTTATTTCGTCATATTTCTTTCAAAAATTAGTTTTTTTAATAAAATACAAATATATGATCGGCAAATGATCGGCAAATGATCGGCAAGGTGATATAAGGATGTCCGCTATGCTGTAGTACATCACTTGCTGATATATAACACAGAGACAAAAACGTTAATAGCGGGTATAATGTGACACGGAATCATTTTGCATTTATCGTAGTAAGTAGTAACACCACCAATTTTATAATTAAAATTTTACCCATGTGACCGATGACATTTAAGGGGATGTGAAAAAAATAATTTTGTGAATCAAAAAAACCAAGTCCTCAGATAAATATAAACATTGAAAACGCAGTGGGGTGTGATGAATATTATTAGGTCACGTGGGTGAAATTTGGTGTTACAACAAACGTGACGAGAACGAATCAGATCTTAAACATATTCGTATTTATTTATTTATTTATCTATTCGGACTTTTTTCATTTCTGTTTTTCCTTTTTCTCTGATAGAATTCGTTGAACTTTTTCATTTCTTGCTTTTTTTTTTCCTTTGATAGAATTCTCTGGACTCTTTTTTCCATAAATGGATGATGTTCTTGTCGTAGTATCCATTGGTAATTATCTAAATTCATTTTTTAAATACTGTTATTATTTAGAAAATCATTGCTAAAAAAATTCATTTATTCAAACCAAGAGATTTTGGAACAACATATTCTGTAAGTTATTCTATTTAATCTTCTTATTTTAAACTATTGAATTTTCATAAATCATCGCAAAATTTTTAGGGATTCGCATATGCACGTACAGTAAATCCCGAAATTATCACGAATGATAGTTGGCCCGACCAAATCGGTCAATTAAAAACAAATACAGCATTAAAATATGACAAAAATTTTAAATTTGTCGAAGAATGGGGTTATCCAGCGTTAGCTAAACCAATAAAAAGTAAAGGAAAATCAAAAAATCAGTTTGTTTCAGAACCGGTTGAGCGTTTTAAATTACATTTATCTAATATTCCCGATAATGAGAAACCTGTTTTGCCTAAAGGCATAAATTATAAGAAAGCCATCACTGACTACTTGAAATGTATGGGAGAAGTAAGCATTTTTGTATTTATTTAAGTATGATCTTTTTTTGTTGATTGAAATTTTTTTTTCATTTTTATTGGATTTCTTTATAAATAGTTAATCAAGGAGACAATAACAACTAGATGGCCGAATGTAAAATTCATGAAACAAGTTTTGATCATATTAACAGTTCCCGCAGGATTCTCCGATCAAGCGAAGGCAATAATGAGGGAATGTATTTATGAAGCAGGTTTAATTAACGTAAGAAGTTCTAAAAAATTACAGTTTACTACTGAACGTGAGTTTATAATTAAATGTTAACGTCTTATATCCGATTTTAATTTATAAAATAATCAATTAACTTTTTCATTTTGGTTTCAATAGCTGAGGCAGCCGGTAGGCTATTTTAACAAGTTCAAAATTATTATTTGAAATTTATCTAACGTTTTTCTTTCAATAAATAAATAATTAAATAAATAAAAAAGCTATATACTGCATGAAATTGTTTGAGCATACTTTAAATATTGTGGGAAGTAAGTATATTTGATTTTTTTAATGCTTATTTCAGAGTATGAATTAATTACTAATATATTTTGGTTAGCCAACTTCTTAACTGTTGATTGTGGAAGTGGCACAGTGGATTTAACCACACGGCAGTTATTGAAAAATGACAAATTAGGAGAAAAAACAATTAGAGCATGTGGATTTTGCGGAGGAGTTAATGTTGACAAAGGTTTTCTTGCTTTTATCGGAGGGAAAATAGGACCTTCTGTTTTGACATTGCTTCAAGAAAAACATCATGGACAACTACAATATATGGTTCAAGAATTTTGTAAAAAAGTAAAGTTTTTATTTACGGGAAATAAAGAAGAGTATAAAACTTTCGAATTGGATTTAGAAGATGTTTGTCCAATTATAAAACAATATGTTACGGGTGATAAATTAGAACAATTGGAAAATGATGATTGGACCATAGAACTTAAATTTGTTGACGTAAAAAGAATGTTTGATCCTGTAATTAATAAGATTATTAAATTAATACGTGAACAACTTAATAATAGTGGTCCCATTTCTGCTATGTTCTTGGTAGGAGGTTTTAGTGTATCTAAGTATTTACAAAAAAGAATTAGAGAAGAATTTTCGAATAAAGTCAAGAATAATAATATTTTCGTACCACCCCAACCAGCGGCTGCCACTCTCAGAGGAGGTAATCGTATATTGGCATTATAATTTTTGTTTATTGATAAATCTAAATAATTTATTACAAAATTAAAGCGCTTGAATATGGTCTTAATATGAAGAAAATTAAAACCAGAAGGCTACCTTTAACATATGGAATCGAATTGGCTCCACTATGGTATGATTTGTTTTTTTTTTCTTTTCTTTTTTTTTTTTGAAAAAAGAAAGAAAGACTTAGTATTGAATAACTTAATTAAAATTTATAGGAAACCTGGCGACCCACCGGAAAGACGACAAACGCATAATAGAATCTTTAAATTCAGACGTTTAGTTGAAAAAGGTGTTGAAGTTGACGTTGATCAAGAATTTGGATTCGAATTACGCCCTAGTTTTGCAAATCAAACAGAACTTTTGATGGAAATATATTCTACAACCGCGAATGAAGCAACTTATTGTGATGAGCCTGGAATGAAAAAAGTTGGGAAATTAAAATTGGATTTCCCGAATCCACGTCTCGGATTTCAGAGAACAATAAGTTTCACGCTAACGTTTGGTCAAATGGAAATTCGTGCTTATGCAAAAAATCAGCAAGGAAAAATAACAAATGCAACATTCGTAATTTCCGTTTAAAACATTGTCCTTTGTAAAATATTATTTTGAGTCAAACATTATTTACATTTATTATCAAACAATTTATTTATTTATATATATATTTTTTAATCAACATTATCGATTTTTACAAGCAAATTAGTAAAAGGAGCGAGTAGATTAAAAAAAGTAAAAAATATTGTTATTGCAAATAAAAAATTTAAATAAAAAAGCTTTGTTTTTCTCAGTTAAAAGGATAATACACAAATTTATTCGCGTCGCAGTTTATATACGGTAGTTATTCTATAAATTTTTTCTTTATGGTTTTTATGTAAACTATGAATCAAGAATCAAATTGTCACACTTATTAATAATTCTTAAATCAGTTTACAAATTTAGTAATAAAAAGAATGTAACCTCCCTGGTTAGTATGATCGAGCGAGACGATACTACAATTAAAAAGCTAGGCACATTGTACAAGCCTTTCGGCATTCTTTGTTTCCACGACTATTAAAAAAGCTTATTTTTCCTTTATTTATGAGAATGAAACCGATATCATGACCAAAATTGAAAATGAAATCAGAACTTTCATTTTTCAGTTTCACTTCAAAATATTTTCTTTAAAAAATTTTTTTTTTTACTTTCTTTTGAAGAACTAAATGATTCTTTCCTTTTACTTTTTCGGGTAACTATTTGGATCAGTAAGTTTTTAATGAGAAGCATCAAAACTTTAATTTAATTTTTTTTTTTTTAATCCATCTGTTTTTAATAAAGGTCAGTTCTGATTCTTTGGATTCCAGGAAGATTTCGGGTTTGACTACTTGAAACTTCAAATTTTTTTTAAAAAAAATGTTAACTTTTCGTCATTTTTTTTTTTGAATATGTTTCAAATGCTTACATTTAGACAATAAACTTTGGAAAATATTATAATCTATATAAACTATAAAGCTACAAGAAAGAATAAATAAAACGAACAATGATATCAAATAACTTAGGTAATTTTGCTGATTTTTTCTTTAAGCGTAGATTTAGCCGGATCCACGGGAAGCAAGTTTTTGGGGTAGATGGTATATTCAAATTAAAACTTGCAACTTTAAATTCTTATTTACTAATAGATGTTCACAAATTTTTTTTTCATACATAGGAGGCAATAAATATATCATAATAATTACATTGTATTTTTTACTTACCTCTCTCACATTTCCTTTTTGAATACTTATTACGCTATTATCATTTTCTATAAAATTTTATTTTCTTTCTAATAAAAAGCCTGACACTTATTGCCCAATATTTATTATTCTGGTACTCAATAGATTATCAAAATCATTACATATGGAAGCGACCATTTTGCATAATACTATAGAAATTATACATAATAATAAATATAAATTAATTTTATAAAATTATTAGTATTTGCGATAATGAGTATAGGGGATTTCAGGATATCGGGTTTGTAATTTGTCAGGATTGTGAGCGTTGGGATTTTGAATGGTTCACTTTAAGGAGAGTGCATCTAGTGGTAGTTCTACAATTAAACGCTTAAGGAATAAGATAAATTTCTTTCGAAATAATTTCAACATCAATATTATCTAAGTAAAAACAATCTGTAGTTTCTTCGAGTCACGGCGAGAATATAAAGGTTCCTAGTACTTTTTTAAAGTTATTTTTTATAATGTTAAATCATGCTAGTTGCTAATTGAATATGATAAATTTTAAGGAGTGAATTCATAAATATATAAAATAATTATATAAAAAACGAGTATTCAGTATTTATTCTTAATTTGTATTGATATGATAAAAACTTTTAATAAGACGCTAATATTGATTTTTATAACTATTAATAACAAATTTAAAATATTTCATAGTTAAAAGCCATCACTTTTTCAAAAATAACTGTCTCTCGTCCTCGCGACGTCTTACCAAGCCAGGCAACCTTTTTCTTTTAGCATGTACCCACCTGCCAAACTCTTCTGAAGCACCTTGAGTATCACCTGCTTTGAGCTTTTTAAGCAATATGGATGTCCTAAGCTTGTCACAGCCAAGGTTGTACGCGAAAGAAACCACGGCGGAGAATTGATTTGAATTAAGTTCTGGAACTTGTTTATTAACGTAATCTTCAAACTTGACTAAATCCTTTCTAAGTAATTCTTCAGCTTCTTTAATGGAGATAGGAGCTTTAATTTTATCGCTGTCTTTATTAGCTTTGCAGTTATGACCATATCCAATAGTTGTAATGCCCTAATGTAATAAACAATGTTATTTCAGTCACACCCGACGTACTGTACAATCGAACTTACCACTGGGTCATCGTAAAAATTTTCCTTAAATACTTCAAATTTTTTTGATAAGGTTTAATCCTTCGACATTAATTCTACGTGACATTTTGACAATGTTATTATAAAATTCTTCTTGTGAAAAAAGTGAGATTTTATTTCAGTAATGCAGGCATATTTATACAAGATCCGAATTACTACAATCTACTAACCAAGATACGGAAATAATGAACGAGAATTACAAAGGATAATCGATACTGCTAATTAATATATGGAAATATTAACGAAGTTATATCAAAAGATTTGGTTCTTCAAATGACAATGAAATGAATTTGTTATTCCATGAGAATATTATGGCCCGCCGTAGTTACAAAAAGGTTGATGAAAAATCATCATGCACCATTGCACCATGATGATTTTTCATCAACCTTTTTGTAACTACGGCGGGCCATAGAATATGCTTATTTGTTCCATAATTGTTTACGTACAGTACGATCGTTAACAAATAGAAACAAAATTGGATTTCATTAAAAAACATAAAAGATAAACATACTAACTATTTTTAAAATTCTAAATAATAGTGCCAAATTACTTTGGCATACTATGATGTATAGAATAATGCCAATTAGTAATTTATAATGAAGGTTGTTCGAACTCCGATATTCGCTACTAACCATTTTTAAAATGGATAACTTAATAGTGCCACCCAAATTTTTAGAGTGAGAACCTTTTTTACAAATAAACAAGGAGTAATTCAATCTATCTGCCTTTAATGCTTAAATTAAATATTTATTACCTGTTTTGAACTAATTAATTTAATAACGTCACATTGTACGTCATTTATTTTATATTTATTTATATACATTTATTTATTTGTATAGTATTTAGGTGCCATCAGATTATTGACACAATCTGAATCGAAACAAAGAAGATTTCTTTATTGTATTCTATTGATCACATTATAAAGTCTCATGGGAGTTCAATTTAGCCTTTATTTTTCGGTAATTTTTTATTCACAACCAATTAATTTTGGATACATTTTATTATGTCGGATACTTAATATTTTGTATTTTGTATTATTTTATATTTTTTATTACTTCTTCGGTATTTATTTATATTAATAAAAACTTATAATAAGTGATATTCATCGGTCTAAAAATACTTCAAAGTTGAGAATTAATATTTCAAATATCGACTCATTATTGTTTGGATAGATTCATATCACGTTATCACGTACGTGCATTGAGCTTTTGTTACTTTGCTTTTGAGATAACAAAAGCTTCATTGAACAAAGCAACAAAAGTAATGCAACATTTAAACAATTTATTTTTTTTTGTTTTAACATTCCCCGAAAAAAAATTATTATTTTGATTATTTTCTTTTCTAACAATAAAAAATAAACCTTCTTTTTTTAGTGAAAGATAAAATTGCTTTTTTTAGTCAACATATGAAATTTTCTAAGAAATAATGAATGGTTTTTCATCCCAATTTAAATATAATTCATTATTTAATCTACTTGATTTTTTTTAAAAAAAATACATTCGTATCATGGAAGGTTAATACACGGTAGTAACCTCTTTCGTTGATATAAAACATTAAAGCATTCGGCGATAGGGTACGCTCAGCGACTGGATAACCAGCAATAAGGTAGCCAGCAATAGGATAAGCTTCCTCTCAAAGAGTCCTTCCAAATGTATCACTGAATAACCTACATATTACCGAACAGCCTACGTATTACCATGTCTGCTATCGTTACCAAGTTCGTGAGAGAGAATAATCTTAATCCAGAAATGAGACTGAAATGAGCCTCGTTGAACTTAGCCAACTTGTGCCAGAATTGCACAAACTCTTTAGTTAAAGTAAAAAGAGATCAGGTGCGTCGATGACTTCTAAATGGATGCAACTTTAGTAGAGAGCAAGCGTCTATAATGGTACCCTTTCAGAAAAGTGGCCGACCTAAAGGTGGAGACGCAATGCCTCCGGGCGAAACTTCTGATTCACTACCGGAAGGAGGTGCAGTGAATGTATGCCAAGTATCGCAAGAAGAGACTATCGAAGAATTGGCTCAGCGCATCGTCCGGGAGAATCTTAGTGAAATGGAAGTAAGAGATATGGCTAAGGCTTTAATCAAAACAGCTTCCAATGCAACCAGTGGACTATCGCGTTTATCACAACTTCGAAAAGAACTGCGCAACTTGAATGCATCAGAAAAAATCATCTCTGCTACCTTTGATCCCAAGACAACCCGCTTATAAAATAAAATGCAGAAGGAGCGTCGTCTGGAACGTGAGAATGAAGGAATCAATTGTCCAGACTACTTTGTGTTAGAATCGGTTAAGGAGAGATTGGATGGGTGTGATGCATCAAAAATGCCTGACACACAAGTTCTTGCCGATATAATGATAATGCTCTGTATACGCCTAGCTGAACTCAAAACTTACGCATAGCCGATGGGAAAGTAACTGGCTATGCAAAAAATCGAAATCAGGAGGACGTTCACCTAGATCGATGGAAAGAGCGAAGAGCGTGCTAACCAGCTACTTTCTTGGATGCAGAATGCAATTTCTTCAAGACAGTTAAGAGATCCAGGTATGCCCGGGTTAAATGGTTAAATACATTCCTAAAGAAACATGACTTATTACCTTCTCATTTGCGCAAAATTGGAGCAGTATTTGCGGTAATGGCATGGAGCTAAGATTTATCAAATGCTATGAACATTGCCAGTGAAGCACTTATGCACAGTCCCGATAATAACACTTCACCGGCGCAAAACTATACAATAGTTAATTACAGACCTCGTGGGTACCTTACGATCAGGCAAAGCCATTCAAAGTCTTTGACGAAAACTAATCATATGGCCGTGCATCCCGGGAAATTGGCCGAGGTGAAATTTATTTTTTTTTTTGAACAAGATATAGCATATATAACGCATTTATCTGTTTAGACGTGCGGTTAGATCGAAGGAAGGAAGGATAACGGCCGACCGAAGGTCACAAGCATTCATCTGATTGTAAACCCAGTGCGCCAGTGAAAAGATTGGAGGATAATACTATTCAGCACAAAAAGCGATTCGTCCGAAGAATTTGAGGGCAGTCAATCCCAGTCGGGTAGATATTGCACTCCAAAGAGACGATCATCATCTCGGGAGATTTCTAATGGACACGTGAGTTGGCTGTGCTTGTGCGACAAAAAAAAAATCGAAAGAAATAAATACTTACCCACACTCCTCCTTTTCCCAAAAACAAACGCGAGAAGAATGTGAAATTGCTTTGTTGCGACTTTGAACCTACCATATAAGTTAATATTAACGTCAAAAGCATATGTCATGAAGGGCTGAGGACTTTGCAATTCTGAGATCGTCAGGCACAAAGCCACTTAGAAACTGGCGAGGAAGAAAACTAAAAGGAATCAAGTTCACGTACACGTGTGCTTTTGAAGGTTTCTTGGTATCATATGACAATGTTAATCAATTTCCTGTCTGCGGAACTCGGCCATTTATTATTCCACTCGCCCAGAAACAAGATATAAAGCGTGAAGGACTGGTCGTAGGTAGAAGTTCAGTCAACCTTCCCGCGAAAAATTAAGGTATGAAATTATGTTTTTATTTGTAGAATTATGTTCCGGAGCATCTTTACAACTGTACAAACGGACATATATTCGCTATGGGCCTTTATAATTAGGAAGAAGCGTACAATGGCCGAAACCACGCGAAGCGTCAGTCTTAATGTTCTTGTTATCTCCACCGAGCCTGAAAATATCACTAAACAAAGTATTATCACACTTAAGATCCTCTTAACGACAAAATTGACCAACTAAGGCCTATGATTAAGGAACGGTGGGCCATCGTTATTTGCAAATATTCTTCCTACCAACTTTATTCTCCACAAGACTGATTCGCAACTTAGTCAATATATGATGGGGATGCTCCCGGCTGCGAAGAAATGTTCTCACATGAATTAATTTCTAAGCATTTTAACACCCAGCTTCATATGATAGAATTCATATTGTTGTAAAAATGTAAATGCCATCCATAACTTCACTGCAGGTTGTAACAGCGACATATTCGCATTTTTTATGTATTAGTTGCTACTTCCGGCAACGATTTATTTTATTAAATAAAGCATTGTTATACTGGGAATAGGGTCGTTTCCAAACGAGTCGAATATACTGTGAACTTGAGCCCTTACAACGTATAAATATCACTATGTCAGAAACTAACACACCCACCTCTACTTCCATACTACACCAGGAAATGAGACGCTTAGAAATTAAAAAGTATGGCGAACTTATCTTGTTTTTAAAAGAACAGAACTTAGGGCTTAGCGAGACAGCTCTCAAAATCTTAGAAAATGAAGAGGTTAATGGCCGGGACTTCTCAAGATAACCAGCCGAATTACGAAAAAACGTCAAGCGGGTGAGGGCGTAGCTCATTATTGGGCTGTTGAAGGATAGGGCAGATGTTGAAAAGGAGCCGGAATATTTCCTGATGCAAATAAAAATAAACAATCATGTTATCCAAGCTTGAAGTTTGAGACAGTGAATCTTCGAACTGGAGGCTACGCTTAAGATTAAGAATGATGAACCTGAAGCATGGAGGCAACGCGCTACTCTGAACGAGGAAAAGGTTGACGAGCTTAAAGCTCGAAATGCTAATCTCGAGGTTGAGAATTCCGATCTTAAGAACAAGGTTGTGAAGCTTGAGCAGGAACACAAGTCTACAGTCGAATCTAAAACGAAAATTTGAGAGTATGCCCGTGAAAATGAAACAGGGTTCGCACAGTGGGTGAGCAGTCACAAGTGAAGACGCGGAGCGCTGCTAATACCAAGACATGCGAAGCTTCTGAAAGGCAAAAGAAAAACGTTAGTGGTGAGATTCAGAGTAAGCGGAAAAAGAAACAAACGCTTGAATCGTCTGCTCAGGACTCAACGAGTAATCATCGGATGATTTCGGAAAATTCGGGAAGAATCGTGGAAACCGTGACAAAAAGTCACGATCAGATTGAGCCGAAGGTTGATACTGGCAATTCTGATAATACCACTGAAGTAGCTGAAACGGAAAATCAAATAATAGAGGGGTTGATTTAAGCGCTGACTTTGTGTTGTTCGTTAACGAAATTAGTAAGTCTTGTATGGAAGATATGATCCCGGACTCCGCACAAAAATTATCGGAATTATTTGATAAAGCAATAAAAACAGGCCAGAAACAAATCCTATACTGGTTTTATTATTCTCTTGAATTTGAAAACAGATTCAGAAGCCTTACAATGGATGGCAAGGTTAAGTATAAAACGGCAAGATCGAAAATATATAGGGTAATGAAACCTTTTCTACCCATGATTACAGATGTAAATTTGCGTAAGAGAACTGAGAGAGCTCGAAAAATCCTTAAGCTCTTTGGTGAAGGAGGTGTAGGCATAGACAGGATCCAAAACGTTACATATAGTGCAAGTGCTATCTCGGGATTAAAAGATACTCAAATTCAGCATATTATAAATCAGTTGACTTCGAAAACCGAGACATTTTGTCATACTACGACGACGCTTTTATGAAGAGATTTGATGATGATTCTGGGGATGAAACTTTCGAAAGAGGATGCAGAAATAGTATCCAGCCGGAGGCTAGCGAATTTTCGGACGAAGGAAGCCAGAATGAAACGTCAGCAGGTTCTTCTAGTTCTGACTCTGACTCCGACGAATCTATAGACTCGAACCACCAGATCCATTACGAATCTTCAAATGAAGAAAGCCAGAATGAAAATTCTGTAAGTTCTCCCAACTCTGATACTGATTACGATGAATCTGACGCGAAACGTGAGGAAGTGACGCCTCGAATCACGGATGAAGACATCTTGGCAGGCTTTTAGAGTTTCCGAAGAGATAAGGATAGAGGAAGGAACGAATGATTATTATTAGTACTAATAAAATTATTATTATATGAATAAGAAGAAAGAAGAGAAGTTGTTATAATTTTTTATAATTTAATGAGACGTTAGTAATTTCACCTAATTCTGAAGATTCTGAATCCCGCCGAGGTGGACCTATAGACCATCCGAACCATGATATTCTACGCGAAGAAATGACTCGATCCGAAGGTATCTCGATCATAATCCGGGCGCAACACTCATGTGAAAGGCGCGGTATGACATCGGAAAAATTCTTAGGGTCTATGCAATGTAAGATTAGATTCGCATTTTTTTACTCCGCGATTGTTCCATCCACGACTAGCATCTAGGAAAAAACAATTATCCGCGTGGGCTGTTGCCACACCAATACCGGGCACATTCCTCCCTTGAAATATCTTTCCGCTACTTCATATTTTATTAGTTTAGTTAGTTTAGCTGAACTTTTTACATTGATAACTCATTTACAAAATAAAGATGTGCTGTTTTATTATATATTCGCAAATATAAATTTTATGTTACTAGTAATCAATAATGTGAAAATTTCATACTAAAATAATTCTCTAACAAGTGTATGTTCATATGGTGATTTCGCATACATTACTTTGCAGACTAATATTTTTTTCATCATGCTATTCTGTTAGTGTTAGATCCATCGAATTTTCTTTATTTTCCATCTTTGTCTAGAATAAAAATTCTTACATTAGAATGCATTTGCTGCCAACTTATTGTGTAAGATACGCACCTTAGAGTTTCCATTAGCTTTTTAATGACCGGTCCAAAAACGTGTTCCATATTACGGTTGTCCACAATAATCACGAGATCATCTTATCGAAACAATTTTGACCTTTTATTCTGCCCACGAGGAAATTCCACTGAAATATAAATATGTTTCCGATTCTCCGTTGAATTTTTGATTGTCTCATGATTCTTTTTATCAGAACCCGGTATTTTCGGTGTAGTTCAAATCGTAATCTACACCATCAAAGTCTAAATCTTGTCCATACTCTTCCTTTTCATTAGCTGCGGGAATTCCTATTTGGAGGCATAATTGTTTTTTATAAGAGGAAAATTTCACGGGTTCAAATTTTTCTCTTTCCCGGGGTTTCTATATACTGAGATTTCATACACGACTTGATTAACTGCTTTTCGACTTTTTTTCGCCCAATAGGTCTTCCAGAAACTGTACAGCTCACTAATAACAGTACCACCTTTTGCTCATTATCCACAAGAGAGAGCACCAAGTCTGATCCTGAGCAGGGTTCTGATTGGATTGCACGATAACGATAAGCTTCATTACTAAAGGAACTGCATTTGATAGATTTGGAACTGTTACGAATTTCATCGTGGAAGTGATCCATGAAGGAAGGTTAAATTGTTGACAATTTTCCATTTGTTAAGTTCTTTTCGTACATTACGCCCACATTTCTGATGAATTAATATTGAGCAGGATAATGTTATCAACAAAGACATCTACTAAAGATTTCCCTCTTCTTTGAAAAAAATCTTCGATGTCAGAGACGAGGTAAGATTCAAATGATGGGTTGATTTTGATCTCTTCAGAAAAAGTTTCATTATAATGGCTAGGAGTGAAATATTCCTGTGACTCGTAAGGAACGATGCTGTATTGGAGTGGTTTTATAGCTTGGCTGTACCTTTGATTGTGAAAAATATGAAGCTTAAGAACATCCATAATCGCTTTTTCTCGATGTAAATTATCTGCACCCACATATTTACATGCGTTTTCCAAATATACTGCCATATCAAAGCTTATAATCCTTACAAGCTACGAACAAAAAAGTTCATGAAGATACTCAGGAATAACTGGATATGGGCCTTTGTAATACCAAACTACCTTCTTAGTGCAATGACTGCAATCCCATTCTCTTCACAGAGTTTCTTTTTGATCTGATCACGCATCAACTGCTTTTCAAATTCTTCCAGATCTTTATGAAAGTGTTTCACATGTTACTCATGTTGTTTGCCTTGTACCTCTATAGCAAATCCATACTGTAGATAGTAAATATCGAGTTCTAATCCTTGAGAATGTATTTTCAAGAAATCTGCAAGAATGTTATTATGGCTTCATGACATAGATTTTCATATTTATTTAAGCAACCATTGCAACCATTTCTTAGAGTGCTTTATACAATTAAAACTTGAAACCCATCTATGACCTTTGTTACATATCCATTGCATTGGAACACAGATTAATACATACCGTCCCTACTGTGAGCGATTTCCTTTGCTTCTATAAGACCACAAAGAAATTACCAGCACAATGTGAACACTATCTTACCATCTTCCCATATTTTTTATTCGATAAAGGGTTGTAGCCCATTCATGACCTTTGCCACATCTCCAAAGCATTGGAATAGTCGAATTAACATATTCTGTTGAAAGACCCGCTCTTGTGCAATATTTTTTGCAAAATCAATAATATTTCGTAGTTTACGGACTGGGATATATTTTTTGTCTTCTATAACATGTTTTCTGGCTAGTGTACGGCACTTACTTGTAATGCAAAGACCCCTTTTTTCTCTGCAAACTCCTTCATATCTTAATCGTTCGAGTACGACGTTTTTCAACTGCAAACCACGGGCACCATGTTTTGCTATTTTCCACACAATTGAGGGTTGCGGACCATAAATGATCTTTAACACATTTCCTTACTATTGACATATTTTTCGGAAAGATATTAATAGTTTATACATCTTTTCAACAGTCAGCCGGCATAAAATATAATAAAAAGCTCTACTTTGATTTTTAAACATGTGTGCGTGTTTTCGTGTGTATGGCGTGAAATGTCATAAAAATAAATTCTTTATTAATACAGATAAAAGATAAATACAAATCGGGTCAACACCCGTACATGTGAAAAAATAAATTACAGATTCACCGAGGCAAGCAAATAAATATAATTTTTTTATAAACCATGTTCCTTATGAAAATGGAAAAATCTATGTAAACAATAAGTCTAATAAAATATATTTATCAATGTGAAACATTTTCGAATATAAACTTAAGAAACGAAAAAAAAAGATAAAAAAAAAATACTTATCAGTCCGTGGCACAGCAAATTTATTTTTTTCATCCTTTATTCATCGTTTTAATTCGAAATAAAAAAATTCGGTTTATTACTTTGATTTGGTTATATTTTTCCTACCGTATATGACGGAGCATAATTTTTTTTTCATATCATAAATATCATAATAAAATTATGGTTCATATCTAGTAATATTCAAGATATTTAAATTTTCGAAGTTTTTTAAAAAAGTAAAAAATTTCATTTCCGTGTGGGATTATCTGGGATATACTAAAAATCCCAAGAAAATCATTTCGGGCGGTGTTAATCTCATATCACGAATAAATTTACTTTTTATGGTTTAATCTTTTGTACAAGATTTTTTTTTTGTTTGTACAAGATTTTATAATTATAGAATTGTGATAATAATAAAACTACTATACTGTGTTTCTGTGTTTGATTTTCATTATTCTTATTACGTCAAAGTCGTCAAATGAGTAATATATTAAAAAAAATAAGTTTTTTTTCCTGATATTGTGTTCATAATTTATGAAATAACTTTATATGTAATCGAGAATTTATTGAATAAAATTAACGTAAAAGTTTCCTTTTTTTGATAACACCGGCCAGAATTAAATAATTACTAAGGACTGAAAAGATTTGTAGATCAATTGCATGCATGACTATCATAACTATCATTATTTCTACTTTTAGTTAAACTGATAAAAAATTGCAAAGGACAAAATGAACAATGAAAACAATCTTTTTTTTATATCTATGAAATTACCATTCTTTATAAGAAAAAGTAAGAAAAGCTAAAAATATATACAAATAGTTTTTTCTGATTATAATAAAAAAAAAAATGAATTAATTAATTTTTTCATTTTTTTTTTTGTTGTTCGCGAAAAAGGATTTTTGTGAAATTAAAATGATCTATTAATAAAAATGTTATTTTATATAATAGCTATGAAGTTTCCTTTTACGTTCTCTTTATACAATTTCAATCATCAATTTTTGAAAAGAGTTGGTTGAATATAACTATGAGATTTCTATTTGAAGGAATTATTACTCTTTAATTTAAAAATATATGAACTTTTTAAGAATCTTTTTGATTTTCAAAAAATTATATAAACACTCGTTTTTTCCCTTCAAAATTTCTTCAGTTCGATCTGAAATAATTAAAAAGATCGAGATAAAAAAGATCTAATTAATAAAAAAAGAAATGAAGTTCACAACTCTTGTTTGTTTAACGGCTTTGGGAGTTTCGGCTCTTAATGGTGAATAATAGAAACTTGAATATGAAATTATTATGTAAATAAATGAAATTAATTTACTAAATTTTTTTTTCAAAAAAATTATTAGTTAATGCTGCTCCTATTTCTGAGGTTGAATTGAATAATAAACGTGACGCACCATCTACATATTATTATGATGATGATAAGAAGGATAAGTACGATGACGAATACGGATACGATGACAAAAAGAAGGATCACAAAGATGACAAAAAAGACAAATATTACAGACGTAGCGCAGTAGCCGAGGAAAAAGATTACAAGGATGAGAAAGACAGCTACGATTACTACCCCGACAGCTACGATGGAAAGGATAAGTACGATGACGAATACGGATATGATGACAAAAAGAAGGATCACAAAGATGACAAAAAAGAAAAATATTACAGACGTAGCGCAGTAGCCGAGGAAAAAGATTACAAGGATGAGAAAGACAGCTACGATTACTACCCCGACAGCTACGATGGAAAGGATAAGTACGATGACGAATACGGATA